CAATAGGACTCTACTACAAATCTTGTCAATGTTCGTTAATGAAAATAAAGACGATTGGAATAGCCATCTCCCGTATGTTACCATGGCATACAGAGCATGTACCCACGAAAGTACGAAATGCAGCCCAAATTTATTAATGCTAAGACGCGAAATATCTTTACCAACCTTTACCAATTGATATTGTAACTGGGTCAAACCAGGATGAAAATTTAATCTACTGTCCGAATTTATACATTGAATGGATGCTCGACGCCATGCAAAGAGCTTTTGGTATAGTTCATGAAAATTTACAGTCAAGTTTTCATAGACAGAAAAAATACTATGACTGTAAACTGAAACACAGACAATTTGAAATTGGGAATAAAGTTCTAAGATGGTATCCACCAAAAGCAAACAAAAATTAGGTTTGGGTAGGATCGGTCCATACAAAGTTACTGAAAAATTGTCTGATATAAATACAGGATTGTCAAAATTCCAAATTTAAAGTGGTCCATGTGGAACCATTTAAAATCACTTCATACACGGGACCAAACATGTGATATTAAAGAACAGGAGAAGCAGGTAACTGCACAAACACAAGATCAATCAATTTGGATTGATTACACCGTTGACGATATCACTGATATACAAGATGAAAATGTTCACAATGTTGAAACAGAACCAGCTTCTCGAAAGTATAGTCATTGTGCAAACCGATAAAACCTCCAATAAAGTTTTCGACATAACAGATAGCGTTCTTATAATCGAAATTCTGTAAATGACTGCAAAATTCTATTTTTTTAAAGGGAGTGAGGGTTTAGTTGAATTATTCGAAATGATGTACAGTTTAGTGTACTATATGATGCATAATTTACATTATTTAATCTAAGTGGTACAAATTAGATTACCAACCGTAATACAAGATATACTATATATAAACTAGTACATACTATACATTTTTACATAACATAATAAATTTACATGACTTTTAATCCTTTTAATATACTACTCATTGATATTATGTCTAACAAGAGCATAACCATGTATTTTTAATTCTAAGCAAGTGTTCAGATAATTTATTAGCACATAATTGAGGGGGTGGAAAGGGGGGTACCTTTCTCCTTTCTCCCGCCCCTCTGCTTCCATCTCCCACCTTAACAACTGTCTTTTTTCAGATCAATCGATTTTAATACAAATTTGAATTAATGAGTCATTTATATATGAAATGATCGGAAATGGCAAAAATGGTTTGGGAAATATAAATGTTGCCTTTTTTCAAAGATTTGTTCATTTATTAGAACATTTAGTATCCAGTTTTTTCGTTTTTTTACCTCTTTATTTTTTTTTCAACATTAAAGTTCGTCTCCCTTTGATAGTTCTCCCTCCTTTCTCCCGCCCTTTCTCTCCTTTCTCCCGCCCCCTCTCTCCTTTCTCCCGCCTCCCTTCTCCTTTCTCCCGCCTCCCTTCTCCTTTCTCCCGCCCCCTTTCTCCCTGTCTCCCAATACCCTTTCCACCTACTCATAATTTATAGGTTTTCTTTTGTTATAAGTTAATCAAGGATACAGTATTCCAGGTATACGCGCATGAACAATTGTTTGCCATGGGTATTAATATACTTTCGATACTGTGGGTCACCGGATGCTGTGGGTATACTGATCAATTTGGATCGATATTGAAAACTTGAATTGGTCAATGTGTACCAATGTAAAACGGCTTATGAATAGTAGGGGTGGGCATGTTCTATTATACGGCAATATGTTGGCCATGAACTCTGAGTTTTCGGTTACGTTGATAGAAACATGTACACCAATGCTAAAAAAACACAATTTTGGTTTTCTTATGACTGGCTAATGTAAGCCATGTCAGAATTGTCAAGAGTAATATTTGACATAAATTGTTGTTATAGTTTATTTTTATTTTAAAGGGGGAAATATGCTATTCGATTGATTGGATAATTTGTTCAGTAAAACCAAATGCATTTTTATCATGTCAACTAAGAACTGTTGGTTCCTATTTCAGGATGGAAATTCAGCTTTTCGCTGACGGCGATTTTGATGAAGAAAATATGGAAAACAGGATTGAGTTTTTGTACACCCCTGGTGTAATGCAGTGTCCCATTGATGGCTGCAATAGTGGTCGATTTGGTTCCAAGGAGAAGCTCCAACGTCATTTGGATGAGAAACACCTTCTTTTAACAATTAGTTATAGCTGTCCAGAAAAACTATGCAAAGCTGTGGGCCGGAAAAAGGCTGATATGAAACAACATCTGAAAAAAATCCATGAAATCCATGACCAACTTAAATTAGAGACACAACTTACCAACTGCAAGAAAGAGGTTAGAGAAAACAAAGGATTTGTCAACCTAGGCTTATTTATATTCCGTGGTAGGACCAGACTAATACCAAGTTCATCCTGTACACCTACTTCATTGATTTCACAGACCACTACTGTCACCACTATGGGAAACACTACTACATCTCCCTCTTTCATCATCAACTTACCTACCAAATTCCCAGAGACTTCAGGAAGACCACAACTGTTACCACTGCCGGACCTTCCGATCTAATCCCTTTTTCCGTCTCCTCAAGAATTTCCTTACAAGAATATAAAGCCAGAAGTCATCCATCAACCAATCAAAAACCAGAAACTGCACCAGAAAATGCTCATTCTTGGCATCCTGACAGCTTAATATCTACGGATTCAAACAACAACTCTGTTAGTTATCGACAGACAGTGAGACACAGACATCAGCCACAGATTTACCTCCTGTATAGATCAAAGATTCGGGCAGTCGACAGCAGGAAAGAGAAGCAAGAAGAAAATTGGAAGCTGAAAACCGTGAATTACGTAGACAAATTGCAGAGAACAAGTGGAGAAGTGAACTTTTTGGGGAAATTGCCAAGCAATAAAAGGAACTGTAATAATGTGTCAAATACGTCTTTTTGTAACATTGATTTTTCAAACCATTAATCCGTCTCTCCCCATTGTTGAACTTATTGAACTTTTTGTCGGATGCTTTGCTGGAGGACATATATACTTGGAACTATGAATTTGATAACTGTTGTGAACAATACTTAACCAGTAACATTATACATATTGTTAATTCTTTTTGTAAATTTCATATTTTCCTTTAGATCTTATATTTCAGGTTATATTCTTGTCATTTCTAACTAATGTGTTTTTGCACATTAGGTCTTAAGAGGGAGGGAGTGTGACGGTAGTCATTTTGCTTGTTAATCCTTTCATAATTTCAGAGGTTTGGTTAATTTTCTTTCTATTTATTCTATCTCTGTTTTAATAATATTTCTTGTAGTTCTGGCCATTTTCTTTTCCCCGCCTGGCCACTGGATGTGTACTGAATGATATTTTAGTCTTTGATACATGTTTTTTTTATTAGTTTTCATTGGCTTTGAACTAACTGTCTGTATACGTAACTGCGAAGACTCTCAGATCTGTACTTAGTGTTTTTTTTTGTTATAAGGGAAGAGGGATGAATATATACCCTGCCACGTCCTGTCTGTGTTTTTGTTTGATGTTTTGCTTTGTATCGATTTGATGAGTTTAGCCTTTTCAACTGATTTTTATAGTTTGTTCTTATGTTGTGCTATTGCATCACTGTCCCAGGTTAGGGGAGGGTAAATCGCTAACAAACATGTTTAAGCCCGCCACATTCTTAATGTGCTTGTCCAAAATCAGGATCCTGTAGTTCAGTGGTTTTCTTTGGTTCATGTCTGTCATATTTGTTTTTAGTAAACTGTTTATATTATAAATTAGACCGTTAGTTTTCCCAATTGAATTGTTTCATATTTTCATGTCGGGGCCTTCAATAACCGACTATACGGTATGGGTTTTTCTTATTGTTGAAGGCCGTACGGTTGCCGATAATTGCTTACATCCACCTCAATTGAACTTTGGTAGATAGTTGTCTCATTGGCAATCATACCACATCTCCTTATTTCTTTATATGGACATTGTAAATTTCAATTGATATTTTATAGTGTGTCTTTCTATGTTGTAATGTTACACTACTATTTCATGTAAGGGTGAAGGTTGGCGCCTGTTTAAACGTTTAAACCCGCTGCATTTGTTTGAACCTGTTCTAAGTCAGGAACCTATTGTTCAGTGGTTGTCGTTTGTTGATGTGGTTCTTAAATGTTTCTCGTTTCTCGTTTCTCGTATTTTATATAGATTAGACCGTTGGTTTTCCTGTTTGAATTGTTTTACACTAGTCATTTTGGGGCCCTTTATAGCTTGCTCTTCGGTGTGACCCAAGGCTCCGTGTTGAAGGCCGTACTTTGACCTATAATTGTTTACTTTTTACACATTGTGACTTGGATAGAGAGTTGTCTCATTGGCACTCATACCACATCTTCTTATTTATATTGTGCAAAAGCTGATCTATCAATATTTCTACATGTTCTACTGTTAAATATTTTTTCTTACAGAACTACGTTAAAATATATAAATTTTTGGTTTTATAACTTTTTAATTTTTTCTGCCTTACAATAAAGTGTGAATCCAGGGTCCAAGGAAAGAGGGGTGTTATTGTCCAAAACGATAAAATTTCTGGTCAGCGTAGCAAGTTAAATTTGTTTAGGGAAGGTTTCATAATTATTTTTTTTTCAGGTCAAATGGAGGGTTGACGTACACTATGGGCTCCAAAATAACCACTGACAATAATTCTGTAAAAAAAAATTCGATTTTTATAAATTTCATGCGTCCGACAATATAAAAATGAGGAAATGTGGTATGATTGCCCACCCCCATTAACCTGTGACAGTGGTGTAACAGCACAACATATGAACAAACTATAAAAATCAGTTGAAAAGGGCTTAACTCATCTGACATCAGATCGATACAAAGCAGAAAAACAAGTAACAAAAACACAGACCGGGCATGGTAGGGTATTTAAACTTCCCCACAACAAAATACCTGAGAGTACTCGCAGTTACTGACAGCTAGTTCAAAGCCAATAACAACTAGTAAAAAAATTATGTGTCTAAGACTAAAATATCCATCAGTATACATCCAATGGATTTATTGTAAAGATGTCATTAACAGTCAGAGAAAACATGACCTTGTGCAATGCCAAATTACAGGTATCGACCGATTGTAGAACCGTGAATGTGCAAATGTATATAACAATGATATTTATTAGTTTGGTTTTAATTTACTGATAACAAATTCAATATTTATGTACCAATAAAACAATATTCAAAGTTCTAATTACAGTCTTGAATTGGTAACCTTTAATAATAAGTTTATTTTAAGGATTGGTGAGTTTACCCGAATCGTATCTAAATGTCCGTGCTCGGTGAAAGACATCAACGTAAAAATTAAGAAGTTTTCTGCAGATACAATATACAGCCAAACTTGCAATCCAAATCTTTGTATCTATCATGTGTCTATGGAAGAATGAATTTAGTAAAGGTTTTAAGTAATTTGTGGTACATGTAACGAAACCCCTGACTTAGTAATTGACCAGTAATACATAGATTAGGCTCATTGAAATCCAAAACGTTACTACAGTCACGGACATAACTTTTTTTGATTATCTAACTAAAGGGAACCTTTTTCTTTGTGGCGAGCGAAGCGAGTCAAATCTATTTTGAACATTTTGAATATCTGGAACCAGGATATTTATTTTCATGGGTGATAAGGCAAGATTATTTATTTTCACCTACATGGGGGCCAGAATATTTATTTCCAAAATCTGCCAGGCCCCCCTCAGAATCAAATGATTGTCCCCTTATACATCCTTGGCTTTCAAGTATTCGGCTTTGATCGTTCCTGGCGAAGGTAAATCAAGAACAGCGCTTCGGACGCATGGACTTTATAACGTGTTGTTTTCATTTTTTATGCAACTTAGTTCTAGTAATATTTTGGATCACGCTATACTTTTACGGACAATATATTATACTGTTTTTAATTTAATTAAAATAATGCAGTGTGTAAAAAACGACTCCGAAAATACCTTTACCAAGTCAGGAATATGACAGTTGTTGTCCATTCGTTCCGTTAGTTGATGTAGTCTAACGTTTGATTTTGCCAGTTTTTATGAACTTATGCCTTTTTGAATTAACCTTGAGTTCGGTATTTTTGTTAATCCTTTTTGCTGTACAAAAAAGGAAGATAATATTTTTTTAATTCGGTTTGCTCTCTATTGGACAATTAGATTGTTCTTCTCTTTATCAAATCTAAAATCGTTGTTTCTCATCGTCACTTGTTTTGCATGATTGTTTATGATCAATGTAAATTTAAGTAGTTATTTTTCATATTTTGATAAGAGTTACTAGTGGTAAAGTAAATACACGTGTCATTGGAATAAAAACATTTGCTGTTTTATTTCTTTTTTTGTTACTTTTCTTTTTTGTTCTATGTGCCTACATCCAGTTATTTATGTTTTATTACATCAGAAAATGTATAGAAGTCCCTTTAGTAACATGGACAATGAATATGTTTATTTGCTGGATATGTAAACTGATTCGCACCAGTTGTCAATACAAAATTCATGACTTTTAAACTCGTGCTCAGACTTTGATAAAGTTTTGAACTCATGGTTACTTGGTACTTTTGTGCAAAATTCACCTGCTGAAAAATACATTGGATAATTTAATTCCTGAAGGAGTTGATTATATGTTGGAATAATAATTAATATTTGTTTTTGTAAATCATTGACAGAAAAAAATATATCAGATCTGATCGTGTTCATCTGGAACAAACTACACATGTCATCTCCCTACCATTGACGTAGGGTGGACAAGGGGTCGCTCCGTTACATTTTGAATAAACGGAGTACAATATAGATTTGTCAGTCCAGCTAGGTACTCTCGTGATATGATCAGGGTTTCCATCAACACAGATATATTCCGAAGCAGCTTTATGATCAGGATAACCAGCCATTAGGTAACCACGGTATTCCATTTTCCAATTTTTAAAGCATGTTTGCCTTCCCGGTATCATGATCGTGGACGTTGCTTTTGTCACATGACAAACAGCACACTGAATGACATAATACGTGTATTTTTTATCAAAAAGTGTATTCTTGATGTTAATGTCCCAGTTATCGAACAAAGTAGCACCGATGAAAGGACTTTTGTTTACTTTGTCATCATAAATACCCCACTGTGGTTCACTCGGAACACAGAGCTTATTTGGAGAGCCACCACCCGTATATGAAGATCCACCAACCAAACCTAAAATGATAAAATGTATTTTTTCTGATTTGAATTGTTTTAAATTTTGTTATGTCGGGACTTTTTAAAGCTTGCTTTGCGGTACAGGTTTTGATCATTGTTAAAGGCTGCACAGTGGCCTACAGTTTTAAACTTCTGCGTCATTTGTTTTTTGGTGGAGAGTTGTTTAATTGGCAACTATATTGCATCTTTTACTTTTATATTTAATTTCAATTTGACGATGATCTTCCTAAAAGAGAGAATTGTCACCTGTACATAGATTAGATAAGTTAACTGTGTGTTATGTAAATTTCATGAAAAAAATCTTAGATAAAACTATGAAGGTTGAGTACGTCATAATTTCCTGTATACCATATAACCAGTCGCCAGTGTCCATATGCTGGCCTGACTGACGAGTTACATTCCTATGATAAAATTGACTCAATGTTTAGACCTATTACATCTCCAAATCTTGAGCACACCTTCTAAAAGATATTCAAGAAAAGCGCGGCTTTCGTAATAAACATGATAAATTCGGTATTATAGCTTATCAGTCATTGTAGCATATTTTGTTTACTCTCAGGCAGAGTATACGAACTTGACGTTATTTCAAATTTGGTGAAATTTTGAATGCATTGAGAACTCGTTGAACTGCACATGAATAAGGGAAACACGATAAAGTTAGCATTCATAATTCCAGAGACACAGTCAATAAAAAATGTGTGAAATGGCACTGTGTCTAAACTACCCCGGCAAAAAATGTTTAAACTCTAGTATCTAATATCCGGTACGATGACGGACCATCAACAGACAGAGAAAAGGTAGGATTTCTGTTTACCTATTTGTTATTTTTATGATAATGAAGAATATACATTCACATATAACTATTTTCGATTGTGAGATGCACTATTTTCTACAACGGTTCTAGATCAACGGAGAAATAAGTAAAAAGGCACGTCAAAATGATGAATTGAGTGAACCATGCCTCGAATTTGTTTAATTTATCGTTAAATTGTGCGCATTGTACGGAAAGAAAGGTACGGAAAGAAAGATATTAACATGGAGATTGCAAGACTAGTCACTTTCAGCACCTCAATATTTGTATTAATGTGCATGGAACGAAAGAAATTGGTCATATCAAAATTGAAGGACCTGGTTTTGTCAATGTGTACGACCCGTTGTCGTCCTAAAATTTCACAAAGTAAGACCCGGTTTTATCATAGAAAATAATGCATAATCGTATAACGTAGATTAAAATCTGTTGTTCAACAGGAGTTTGATGGTTAGTTTCTTTCAGAGGACATAATATAATTTATTTGAATCCGTATAACGCTTGAATTCCTGCTTTATTGGAAAAAAAACTAATTTATAATTTTGCTTTGTATAAAAGCGAATACTTTTACGGCGAAATACATAGAAATAAAGGTTGTAACACAATTTAAAGTTTAAGCTCTCTGTACGTTTTTTTTATATGGATTTTGTAAATCTAAATTTGGATAGTATATATGTACCGCCTTGAAAATTGAAGGATGCACATTTGATATTTGATTTTCTTGGACAACAAAATGTTTATCCATATAAATAGTCCACTCTACCTAGGGATGTAATCTTTCCTATGATGGTCTGAAAAAAATATTCTGAACATTAAATGATCATTATAAAGCAAGAGAATAAGGCAAATGTGTATAGAATTGAGAATGGAAACGGGGAATTCGTCAAAGAGACAACAACCCCACCGCAGAGCAGAAAACAGCACAAGGCAAAGAATGGGTCTTCAACACAGCGAGAAAATCCCGCACCCGGAGGCTGGCTTCAGTTGACCCCTAAACAATAATCTATATTTTAAAATTCAGCGGAAATGTATATCACACTAAACTGCGAAACATATAAATGTATGCAGCGTGGTTAAATATGTTTTGTGAGATCTCAACTCTCCCCCTTTACCTCTAGCCAATGCGGAATAAACCAACACACAGCAATACGCACAGTAAAATTCAGTTTAAAAGAAGTCCGAGTCCGATGTTAAAATAGGTAACAGAAGAAACTAATCAAAATGACAATGATCAACATAAATCAACAAAGGACTACTAGCAAGTACTGACATACCAGCTCCAGACCTTAATTAAACTGACTGAAAGATTTTGTCTTCATCGTATGAAAATCAAGCACAATCCCTCCAGTTAGGGGTTTAAGTTTCATGCCATTATAAAATATACGATATTAGAACATAACCCGTACGATATTAGAACATAACCCGTATCATGCCAACAACTGGTTTTAAAATAAATATGTTTATTTCCGATGCAAGACACTATGAATGAATCAATATCAATTTCAAAAATGCCATCTTTATAATAACCTAACAACAGTATCGTAACTATATCCCTTCTAAATAAGTCTGTTTAAAGGTTTGGTTTATCATGAATTTTCATGCAACGCAAAGGATCACAATAATTATGCGTTAAAAATCTGTTTACCCCTCCTTGTATTTATTATACTAACTTAACTATAAATAAGTAAAATAGTCTCAGGCTATCCAGAAAATGCAATAATAATTATTTCATAAATAATCTTATAGATAAATGGCTTTTATCTCTCCATTGTGTAACGATTATAGTACATTGACAAATGTTTTACATTTTAGTGACCTTGGTCAAGTTAACAATTGTCAATATACAAGGGCGGATCCAGGAGCCGAGCGTAGGGAGGGGGATTTTTTTAGACGATTTTATGCTAGAAAAATCATTTATAAATCGTGAAAAACATGATATATTAATCAATCTTTTTTGGCCAATAAAGGTGGCGTACGCCCTCTATGCCCCTGGATCCGCCACTGATATATTAAAACTATATCGTATATCATCTTGAAATTTTATAAGGAACGAAAAAACAGAGACAAATTGAATGTATGTGATTTGGATTATCATGTTTATTTTCAAAATTCACATTGGTATTTTGGTCTCGTCAAATTGGTGGCAGCTTGAACTATTGAACTACATTATTTTGTATTTGTATTAAACAGCAAATAAATCCAGACTAATCATTGGTATTGTTAAAAGCAGTTGTAACAGCAGATGAAATTTCATGAATAAGCTCATATACTTGTATATTAAATGTCTTTCAACGGACAATGTTCAGATTCGTGTTAACGTTTCTTTTCATAAATTTGTGGTTTATAAACGAAACAAAACTGGGTCATATACAAAGACAAAACTGGGTCCTTCCATTTTGACATGACCCATTTCTTTTGTTCAATGCACATACATACACACATTGCTATGATCAAAGTGACTAGTCTTGCAATCTCCATGTTTATATCTTTCTTTCCGTACCTTTCTTTCTGTACAATGTGCACAATTTAACGAGAAATAAAACAATTTCGAGATAAAGTTCACTCAATTCATCATTTTGACGTGCCTTTTTACTTATTTCTCCATTAATCCAGAACGGTTGTAGAAAATAGTGCATCTCATAATCGAAAATAGTTATATGTGTATGTACATTCTTCAATATCACAAAAATAACAAATGAATAAACAGAATCCTACCTTTTCTCTGTTTGTTGATAGTCCGTCACCGTACCGGATATTAGATACTATTGAGTCCAAATATTTTTTGTCGGGGTAGTTTAGACACTGTGAATGGATCTATAAATATATAATCTGAATGAATGTGGAAAACGGCGGATATGTGCTTTTTTCACTTTAAATCGCAATTTATCCAGATTCCTTCCACATAATTTTGTTTAAAAATGAAACTTTATTGATGTAAACTCATCCTTTATAACGATATAAAAAATATGCGTACAAATTTTATTCTAATCCGAAATATCGCCGCAATTTCGTATACTTTGCCGTAAGTAATTTAAAAGTAGTTGTGAATGTCGTTATATAGAAGAAAAGAGATAGGAAAATTAAAAAAAAAAGAGTGCAGTAAAAGCAGCATTTCAGAAGGAAAACATTTTAAAAATCGTACAAACAGGGAGTCAATCTATAAGTATATTTCTAATAACTATTAAACGTTCAATGCACCATTTTAAAATCTTACCGGAATAAATCAGTTCTGCATTATCTTTGGTGCAATTTATCTTTCCCCATTGGATGTATGAGATACCAGCTGAAAAACAAAGTTAGATATTATATCGAACAAAGCGAACGTTATACATCGATATCTGCAGCTATAAGTAAATTTTTATTATACCTTATTCAAGTAAATTATGTAGAACAGAAAAACAAGCAAACTGTAATATTTTGTAACACGAATTAAGAAGGTTGGTGCATCAAAAATAGATTAAAAAGGTTAATTTCAAAAATTCAATTATACCCAAATCGGATTTAATAAAAACGACTTCATCAACGTCAAAGGGAATTAAACATCAACACATCCACCTGCTATCAACGTAGCTTTAATTATTTGAAATTGTAACATTCAACACGATTTTATTTAAAAAAAACAATCTCGAAGAGATATCGAAATGCTCGTTCATTTTACTTGTATGTTTTAAAGAAAAAAAAAACATTAAGCAATGCATGGAATATAATATTGTAGGATTAATTAATTATAACAAATCAATATCATACTTGTCACTTTTTTGTCCACAGTAGCTTCGACTGTACTGCTGATTTTGTCTAGACCTTCATTCACAAGTTTCTTCATTTCAGCTCTCATTGCAACTTCAACACCTTTCTGGATTTCTTGTTGAATGTAAGCTCGAAGATGATTGTTCATATTAGTGATGTCCAAGTCTGCTTTCAATGTAGCTTTCATGTCACCAAGTAATGGCATGGATATTACACCTTGACACTGGTCGCCGGAACATACATCGGCATAAGAGGAACACACAAGACCGATCATAAAAACGTAAAACAAAAACGGACTTTCCATTGCAAAATTGCCAAACTGTAAAGAACACAACTAACTTGACCTGGAGCTGTAGAAAAATGACATGTTTAATTAAATACTACTTAAAGCAAATTTTGAGAGACGTACTTAACCCTTTTATCTTGTTTCCTATTGCATTGTTACAATAAGAGATAAAAGTTAACAGGTTGAAGGAGGCTTTATTTTAAGCTTTAGGAAACTCGACAATTTGCACATAAGAACGATTTCTGAAAAAAACCTGACTTAAGCCATACATTAAATATGAGTTCTTAGGTGGTATGCCTGTGTCGATTTTTTTGAAATGGTAATAAAGTAAATCTTCACAATTCTGTTTTTGAAATGGTAATAACAGTGCAATTCACGATCAAATAGGAGGATTGGCCAGGATGCCACGCTATGCGTCAATTAACTATATCGTACAGGTATTTAAGATAACTCTGTCTTTAAAATGGTAATAACAGTACAGTCCTATGCTTTTTGTGATATTTTTTTTTCGAAACCGTTGTAGCGAGCAAGTGAATGCAGTGAGTTTGTGCCATAAACTTATTCCTGTACCAAGTCAGGAGTATGACAGCAGTTTTTCGTTCGTATGATCTTTTTGAGCTTTTGATTTTGCCATTTGATAAGGTACTTTACGTTTTGAATTTTCCTTGGAGTTCGGTATTTTTATTTAACTTTTCACCACATGTTTATTTTTCAATTGTTCAAACATGTGAGAAATTGCATTGCATGAAATCGAGTTGAAGTCGTGTATGTCTACAGGTCTGCTATGTATCCCTTACATTTCATACGACTCTATATTTAGTTACAGTAGCCTCACGTGTCAAATCCAAAGATCGCGATAGTATTTATTTTTTTAGCTAAAGGACCACTGACACAATTAGAGGGACTTTAAAGAGATTTAAAATATCAAAACATAGCTCCAAATTATAATATTAACGCCTATTTAGTAATTGACACCTGACTAATTACAATCCACATGGAATATGGCCTATTTTGTTCCAGATATTGTGTTTAATCTAGAGGACAACTTTCGTCATTTGAGGAGCTCTTGTAGATATTTAAAATGACTATTATTTCCTTACCTTTTTGCGCAAACATTTAATCGTGTTATACACAAGTATGTAGTTCATTATACTTTTGTGTCGGCATCCTACAAACTATAATTACAATATTAACATCAATAAACAAACTAATCACAGATACAAGGATTGATATATACTATCAGCTTGAATTCATTACATTTTTGGATGTGAAAATATGCATTGATGTGGGAATAATAATTCAATGATTTTCTGAAAAAATCTCTTTCATTGTCGGATTTTCACTTGCGTACGAATGTATTACTTGAATAAAGTACCACAAATCAACTTCTATGTTATAAAGATGAATCGAATCAACAACCGAAATCCAGAACGACAAACATTCTAAATCTGCAGAACAAACAAACAAAAAAAAGTAACAGCTAGCACATGTATAATTGATTCAAAGGCGTTTGATAAATATAAACGCCCATAAAAACTTGGAGTAATTAATATCGATAGTTTTGAGCATGAGGCATTTCATTTTTGTCGCCTTGCTGGAAGTCAAAGTGCACAAATTCATTAATAATTAGCCAAGTTACACTAAAGTCTTGTTACATTGACCGCTTGACTTTAGAAAAAAGTTGTTTTCTGAGTAATTAAAATTTTTAAGCCCTAGGTTACATAATTGATCACTATGATCTAGTTAGGATTAGACTTGTTTGTACTTCATCATGTACATGTTTCAATTGGTTAGTCTAATAAGACAATCAATCAATGTTAACACCTCTTGGTTAGTCTAATAAGACAATCAATCAATGTTAACACCTCTTGGTTAGTCTAATAAGACAATCAATCAATGTTAACACCTCTTGGTTAGTCTAATAAGACAATCAATCAATGTTAACACCTCTTGGTTAGTCTAATAAGACAATCAATCAATGTTAACACCTCTTGGTTAGTCTAATAAGACAATCAATCAATGTTAACACCTCTTGGTTAGTCTAATAAGACAATCAATCAATGTTAACACCTCTTGGTTAGTCTAATAAGACAATCAATCAATGTTAACACCTCTTGGTTAGTCTAATAAGACAATCAATCAATGTTAACACCTCTTGGTTAGTCTAATAAGACAATCAATCAATGTTAACACCTCTTGGTTAGTCTAATAAGACAATCAATCAATGTTAACACCTCTTGGTTAGTCTAATAAGACAATCAATCAATGTTAACACCTCTAATAAATTATACAGTACCAAATGTATTGCACCAGATACGAACTTTGACAAGTGATATCTCTTCAGTGATCCTTGAGACCAAAATATTTGAAAGTCAAAAATCTTATACGAATGTTGAAGATCTGATAAAAATAAAAAAAGCATTAAAAGTGAAGCCAAACTCGATCAGGGAACCAGCGCGTTGCATGCGGGAGGTTCATTTAAGAAAAAAATCATGCAAGCCGTAGATTTGATGGAAATTTTCACATGGCATGGGGCGTTATAATCGAATTTTATCTCGAGCGTTATCGACGGAAAAAATATAACGAATATAACGACCCAGGCCATGTGAAAAAGATAACAAATCTTTGGCTTACATGAATTATTTCGATTCTAATAAGACAAATACGGTAATTTGAAAAACTGAAGCGAAGGTAAGATTGCAGTGTGTATGGCTGTTCTATTTTACCCCCTGTAAGATAGAAGCTACAAATTTCAAATAAATCTAAGGCTTGCATGAATTATTTCTTAAATAACAAATAGAAAAATGTGTTCAATCCTCAATTTTAATGAGATATTATCCGAGTTCAGAGCGTACACGTAATGGAATAATCTTCAGCTTGAGACTTTTCAATCGTATGACGTCATGTTTTGAAATGACGTAAATGCGCCAATATAAAGATAAGGAGATGAGGTATGATTGCCAATGAGACAACTATCCACCAAAGTTCAAATTAAGTGGATGTAAGCAATTATAGGCAAACGTACGGCCTTCAACATTGAGAAAAACGCATACCGTATAGTCGGCTACAAAAGGACCCAACAAGAAAATATGAAAACAATTCAATTGAGAAAACTAACGGCCTAATTTATAACAAAACAATTAACGAAAAACAAATATGACAGACATGAACCAACGACAACCACTGAACTACAGGATCCTGACTTGGGACAGGCGCAAAAAGAATGTGGCGGTGTTAAACATGTTTGTGAGCGCTCAACCCTCCCCTAACCTGGGACAGTGATGTAACAGCACAACATAAGAACAAACTATAAAAATCAGTTAAAAAAGGCTTAACTCATCAGATCGATACAAAGCAGAAACACATTAAACATAAACACAGACTCGACATAGCAGGGTATATATCCATCCCTCATCCCTTACAAAAAGGACACTAAGTACAGATCCGAGAGTACTCGCAGTTATTATTGACAGCTTGTTCGGAGCCAATAACAACTAATAAAAAAAATCATGTACATGTATCTTAGACTAAAATATCAATTAGTACACATCCAATGGATCTAGTGTAAAGACGTCTTAACAGTCCGAGAAAACACGACCTGTGCAATGCCAAATGATCGACAAGATCATTCATGAAATTTCGCAGCCATTAATATGAACATTGCTGAATCTGCGCTAAGTATAGATATATCGAGAATTTTAACACGCTGTTGTTCAAAGCGAAAGAAGCACGTCATATTAGAATCCTGAATTCAAAATGATTAAGAAACTTTATAACATAATGGGCAAGGGAAATAACTCAAACTCAAATTACGTCATATCCATTTATACAAGTCAACAACAGAAACGAGAAAATGCATCTTCCATGTTAATGAAATCGATACAAGGTACCAAGCTACACAATACCTAATTGGTTCAATGTTTACAGATTAACAGTGTTGTTGTCTCATCTTAACTGTTTGATTTAAGGCAAAAAACGAAAATGTCCAATGGCAATCTTTATTAAACTTAAAAATCGAAACATTAACTTTATCAGATTAATTCAGGAATACTACTTATCACCCTCGAAATTGAATCCCGATTTGTTTAAAATGTTTTCAGCAAAATAAATGTTACCCCTATGTTAAATAACTCGGTATTTTATCATATTCCGATATGGTAAAATTTTCTTAATCATATGCACTCGCTATGCAATTGCACGATTTTTTTTATTTATCATATTCAATGATACATTTGAGTACAGACTTGAGTATCGTTACTTTTGTTGACTATATAGTATAATAAGTTGATTCTAAAGGCAAAATGTATCCTACTTTGCGTGCAACGCCTTTGATCATATTGTTCCGTTAATAGGTTAAAGGAGAAGGTCCGGTAAGGGATAGTTTTGGCCTAAAATTCGAAGTACATCTGATGAAAGATTTTTGTCATTTTTTATACAATTAAGTGTCTACTTCAGTCAATTTAATTAGTTTAATATGATAAAGATTTTAACTGATTTGGTCATCAAAGAGGCTCAAATTCAAGCTTAAATATGAAAAATCTATCAGATATGCCATAAAACGTCACTTTTCAGATGTTTTTTGTCTAAAATGGAAGTGGCCGCATTCGTGTTCAGTCTCAACATTAATATATGTAATTTATTATCAATAAATACAACATATATTCAAATATTAAGACTGAACACAAGTGCGGCCACTTCCATTTTAGAAAAAAAACCGTCTTAAAATTAGCACAAATGCTAAAATTGTGAAGATTTTAGTATTTTGGCATAAAATAATGATGCTAGTACCTGATGCATGTCTAATGTACTGTCAAAAATAACCCATATTTATGTAACAAAAGTATTCTACTTTCCAATAAATAGCTAAAAGTTTACATTTTCAACAACTTTATAAAACGTCGTATTTTGGGGCCAAAAATTGGTCTTACCGGACCTACTTCTTTGGTAAAAATCGAAATCAATAAAAGATCATACAGGAAGTATTTTTAAAAGGATTTTAATGATGACCACACAAATTGTGACCTGTCTAAGGATTATCTCTTCATATAAATTGTATTGTCGCCATCACGTATTGGTTGATCAGGAATGTCAAGTTATATTTCCAAATATGTAGGCCTATTCATCGATGAGACAGGAAGCAACACTTTAGGTCAACCTAGTGCATTAATATACTCGTTAATCATTTTAAGGTTATCTAGTGTTTGTTTATAGTATGGTTTCTCATGCCTATACAACAAAATTGAGCTTAGGTATCTTTCTTCTAAGATTATAACAATGTTTCATTAAATGTTTAGTAAGCTGATTCCATTTTATCAACAAGTATAACCTCACTCTTCTTCGACAAGGTTCAGTTCAAGGGTCGTGATCATGATGTTTTCTAACTCAATATATTTGGACAACGCATGTGAGAATATTTCGTCTTTTTTTTATATGCAGATACCTCTGGTACTGATTTTCATGCGTTCAAAGTGTGTTCGTTTCTGGAAATTTTTCACTTACAAAAATGGGGAGATGCGGTATGATTGCCAATGAGACAACTATCCACCAAAGTTCAAATGAACTGGCTTTAAGCAATTATAGTCAATCGTACTGCCTTCAGCAATGAGAAAAACTCATACCGTTTAGTCGGCTATAAAAGGCCCCGACATAAAAAATATGAAACAATTCAATTGAGAGAACTAACGGCCTAATTTATAACAAAACAATTTACGAAAAACAAATATGACAGACATGAACCAACGACAACCACTGAACTACTGGCTCTTGAATTTTGGCACATAAAGAATATGGCGGGGGTTAAATATGTTTGAAGGCACCAACCCTCCTAATAACCTGGGACAGTGGTTTAACAATACAACATAAGAAAAATCTATAAAAATCAGTTAAAAAGGGCTTAACTCATCAAATCGTACATAGCAGCAAAAAAAAAAAACATCTAACAAAAACATAGATCGGACGTGGCAGGATATTTATACATTCATCACAACAAAAAAGACACAAAGTACGTACATATCTGAGAGTACATGCAATTACTGACAGCTAGTTCAAAGACAATAACAACGAAAAAAAGCATGTATCTAAGGCTATTCATTCCATGTATCCATGACTGTTCATTCCACTATAAGAAATCCAAAAACATAGAACGATTGATAACATAAAACGAAAAGGACCTAAA